GTGAAAGAGAAGCATCTCTCCTCACTCAGATGTCAAACAAAATCAATAACCATTTCCCACAGAAAGGAAGAGCAGAGAACTAACCCCTCTCACCTCAAATCTCATGCTCTCCTACTGCCTCTTTAACCCACAAAAATCTATAGTTTCTCCTTAATAGTTTCTCTAGCTTTCTACATTTCACAAACTCTTCTTAAGTCTCTTTAAAAAAATCATTATATGTCTCTATAACTGATACATCTTTTTTAAAAAAAATGAATATTCATTTTGTGATTCTTTTCACAAATGCATTTTGTGACATGCATAAAAATACTATTATCCCGGTCAGAGTTGGTTTTTTAAACTGGAAATGGTGCACAAGGCAGAGGTTATCGCAAATCCAAAGACCTCGGATCATACACAAAGTCTACTGTTGTCAGATCTCAAATGCCTTGAGTTTTATTACTAATATGATTCTCAGTGGTTCATATTGTAGCTCCCATCATTTGATATCATAGGCTCCCCGAAGAGCCTGGTGTTGCTCTCACTGGTTTTGTTTTCCTCAGCTATTCTCTTGGGAAAGAACCCTTTCCAACACTAAAATTACACAACTCAACAAATGAACCAGTAGCAACACCAACATGGAAACAAGGTCTTTCCCCACAACCATTTTCCGAGAGACAAACCTGTGTTCCACAAGGAGAGACCTGTTTGTACACACAGGAGAAAGGGAGGGGGCACCAAGGACTCCAGGGCCTTGGCAGGTGTGTGAAGTCTCTGTTCTGCAGGGATCCCTTGGGGATATTAAGGGCTAAAAGTGCAGGGCAGAGCTATTAGAATGAAACAGGAAGCAGCTCTAATGAGGATTCCTCAGAATGAATATGCAAGGAACCAACAATGATAAGTAGAGGAGAGAGTGAAGCCAGGAAAGCAACAGAAACCTTGAGCAAACCTGTACTTTCTGTAGGCCTCGATATGATAGTGACAAAGCTCTTACCTAGTAAATATTCCCAGATCTCATTTCACTAATGAGTGCAAGCTATTGTTCCTCTTTCTAGCCGATGCATTGTGCTGGTAACTTGAAAAGCTTGTTGTCCCCCAGTACACACAATTCTGTGGATTTAATACCAAAACCAAATACAGAAAAAAAATATCTGGATCTCCTACATCTCTGTGTAGAACCCTGAATTCCAAGGTTTCTCCTTGGAATAGTTCGTAAGACTTCACCTAACATTTTTCCCCCTATGATTATGCTTACTCACTCACTAAAGAAAAACAATGCACTGATTGTTATTTTTAAGATAATTTCAATTTATAAATTAACGTTTTCTTTTTTTTAAAAGCAACATGGCCAACACAGGGAATGTGTCAAATAAGCATGAGCAGCATACTGAATCATACTCCAGGAGAACACTTCTGCTGGCATAAAGATTGTTTGCTCAGTTCACATCACAAATGAATAGAACCAGCCTTTGAGGCTCCCTACTTTATGTTTTTGATTATTTTTTAAAGATTCACTTAATTTCATTTTGTGTTTGGATGTTTTGCCGACCTGTATGTACACCATGTGTGTGCTTAGGCCCATGATGGCCACAAGAGGACAGCAGATCCTCTGGAACTGGAGTTACAGGTGACTGGGAGCCCCTGAGTAAGTGCAGAGAACCCAACCCATCACCTCTGTAAAGAATGGCAGCGCTCTCAACCTCTGAGCCCTCTCTTCAGTCCTATAAGATGTTTCCTAAAAGCTGAGATGAACCTCTGCTAATGAGTAGATTTCATTTCTTTAGAACAAATGTTTGAGAACACGGACCATTTTGCAGTGAAATCTCTGAAAATTGATGTTTGTTATTGAGATGCACCTAAATCCATTTTTATTTACTAGAGTGTGTGGGTACACATGCCACGTGTCAGTCAGAGAACATCTCTGAAGGGACCATTCATAATCCTAGGAATGCCTAAAGCCATGGTTTCTAAACTGCACTGACATCCAGGACCATGCAACTGCAAGAACTGCCTAGTTCAACAAAACATTAGTAGCAATTCCTGCTGTAATCTGTGAAGTGCCCATGACACCCTTCCCCAAAGTTGACAAAAGCCAAAAATGTCTCCACACTTTGCTAGGCTGCCTCAGGGGGAGGCCCTCAGCTGAGGAAGACTGTGCTAAACCTATGAATCATATCCATTCTTGGAGTGAGACAAAATGATTTCTCTCCTACTTTGACTGACACTTCTTTTATATCAGGGATATTTTTTTTCTTTTTAATGCCTTTACCTTAGGGGAGCAGACCTCACTGCTTGCTGAAGCTTAGCTAGGCTTAGGGACAGATCCTCTAGGAGAATTGTCAAGTTAGACTTCAGAACTTTAGAAATGAGAAAGCAGCCAGAGGGCACATACAATCCTTTGTATTTAAAAGGCAAGATGTGGGGAGGAAGAACTTTCTCATTTCACACTAAATTTAGCATTAAATAAATAAAGCCTTCACCTCCCTTCACCGTCACCGGGTCCTCGAACTCCTGACTGTTGAATAGCTGTGTCCAATTCTCCCTTCCTCCTCCTTGATGCCCCCATCCCACCACCACCATCAAGTCAACTCAGGCAAACATACAGTTATGTTTTATTAAAACTATATTCTGAAGAAAAAAGAAGCAGGCTGCAAAAAGAATCACTTATTATCTATCCCTTCACATGTTCTATATCATCGATGTGATGGCAGCAAAAGCTTTTTTGTTCAAATGTCTCACCTTCCAGATCACTAGAAAAACAGACATATTTTCAAACAGTGACCCCAAGTCTCGGCCAGCTGACAAAGCAAATGGCATGCCCTGTCCACTAGAAGAGTATTGTCTGCTTTGTTTGTATTACTCTACAGGTCAGGCAAGACTGCAAAAAATACAAAACAAAACCCATGCCATTCCTCAACACTCCTAGTTCTCACTTCTCTTCATCTTCACCCCATTTGATGTGATACACATATGTGTCATGCATGACATATAATCTCAGAGACCCAGCCTGGAAAGCACCAGCCTGAGATCACAACTTGACCCCACCCCCAAAGATAGTTCAGGTTCCCAGCATCATCTTCAGCTTCACCTCCTACTCTAGCACCGTAGCTTTAAAATGTGCCCACAGACAAAACACCATCTGGACAGTGCTTGAGAAGACATGGTCGTGGTGACAGACATCTCTTCATTCCCATTTCTGGTCCTGGAACCTACAGATCCGTCTTGATCATTTAGTTGGTGGGTAAAACCTTCACTGGTCAAATGGTCAATTTGCAAGAGAATTTTGGATTGTTTATTGAACTAACCTTTTCTTCTCTTGCTTAAGTAATTTGTTTACATGCCTGGAACTGAGAGCAGGTTCCCCCTTCAGAAATAGGTAAGTAATGCCTACTGTCCTTACCCCTATCACAGCTCCTCCCAGTCCATTTGAAGCTACCTGCTTACTCTGTCCATCATCACCCTGTCACGTACAAGGAACTCAGGGAGAACCATGAACCCCCAGAGGGCCAAATCCTCTAAGAGGGCCCCATGGTTCCAGAACCCTTCTGACAGAAGAAACTGCTAGTATTCTTCCCCTGAAGATGCTGGGAACAGCCCTGCCTGAGATGCATCCTGCAAGCACAGAAATCAGGAAACAGGAGCAGCATCGGGTTTTGAATAAAAGGTGACCAGGAAGAGGCTATGGAAACACATCATTGGGCCACGAGAGAAGGCAACCAGCAAAAGGAGACAGAAGAGGCACAGGGAGGCATGTTTCCCTTAATCCTCCCCTGGGCCACCTAGGAGTCCTGGCTCTCTCAGTCCTGCAATCCAGACTGCAGCAACACAAACGACCCCTGGCCGGCAACATGCACCTGCAAACGCATGCATGTATACTCCCTGCCTTGTGTTGCATGCTGCAGACTTCTGCCTGACTTCCCATCACAAACCATACATCCCTTCAACCGGTATGAGACTAGGGATTCCCGTGGCCTAGAACACACACCACTCCCCCTCTTTGTAATGCACAAATCCAGTTGCTTAAAAGGAACCCGGATTTCACGCAAGGGAACCACCGGTGGCTCCCCCTGAGTGACTACCTTCCCGCTGCTTCATCGCTGTCCACATCTACCAGGGAGCCTAGGCGCCTGCAAACCCAGTAAGAGATGGAGGAAGAACTCGGACTGCAAAGCAACCTCTGAGACCCTGCTTCTAAACACTGTCAAGGGGACTTGGCTCACGGGTAGCTTCCAACCCTGCCCCCCAGGTTTGCAGACCCACCAGAGGCCCCCTTCCTCGACATGATCCCTGCCTCACCCCCTCCTCATGTCCACCCAGATCCTTCATCACCTTTCCAGCTCCCTCTTGCAGGCCACTTTCAGCACCCGCTGGCTCTCAACGTGTTGCCTCACACACTCCCTGGAGAGGTTTGAACCAAGCCTGCCTCTCTCCATCATATGTGTCTAGGCTTCTTCTGACTCGCCAAACGAAGCAAGTCTATCCTCCCGTCAAGCGCCCACTGACCCTTCCACCGGTGTCCTTTGCTCTCGTACAAATCCGCTTTCCACACGCCCCACTTTCCATCTATCTCCGCTTCTGTCATCTTAGTTCAGGACACACTGGCCTTCTGGTCTCTAGTCTGCTCCCCGACCCTCTCTCCATCCCGGGGACACCCACTTCTCCTTTTTGGCTGTTCCCAGGAAGGTACCTGAGCCCCAAACCTTCCTTTCCCCAACCGGCACTAGCCGGCTCCTGGCCTGCGGGTTCGCTCCCTCACCTTCGGTCTTTCCACCACCCCAAGTGCCCTCCACCTGAGCTCTTAGCCACTCTGCCCTCGCGGTCTGCACCTGCTCGCCTCGGCGGCTGGAGCATCCCTGTAACTAGGCGCTCACAACCTACCCAGCTGCTGGGTGAAGCGCCAGGCACCGGGAGGCAGAAGGCTGCCCGCTCTCCGGGAGTCCAGCCTGTCCCCCCGGCTCTCCAACCCGGGTTCCCCCGGCGCCCAGCCCTCACCCCGGCGCCCAGCAGCCGCACAAACTTACTTGCGGGTCGGCGGGAGGGGGCTGCGGCGAGCGGTGCGAGCCCCGCAGCGGCGAGTGCGCCCCTCTCGGCAGGGCCGGGCGGCGCTGGCACTGCGCTCGGGCGGCCGCGCGCGCGAACTGCGCTCAGCCTGACGCAGCCGGGCTCTGCCCCCGCCACCACCGCCGCCGCCGGGGCCGCCGAGCGCTTGCAGACATGCTCAGTTTCCGGACCTGCCCGCGTGGAAGCTACCAAGAGCCAGCCGCGGCGGGGGAGGAGGCGGCGCCGAGCCGCAGAGCCGCGGCCGCGAGCTGGAGGCGACCACGCCGGCGGCCCCGGGAAGAGGGGGGCGAGGCGCTGCTAAAAATAGCTCCTGCGGAAGGAAGTCACCCGCTGCCAGCGCACCCCCTCGCTGTCGCGCGTCCCCGCCACGGGCTCTCGGGCTGCGGGAGCTGGCGTCCTACTGTGCCCCCAGAGCAGACACCTGCCGGTGTAGCCAGAGCCCAGTCCCAGCCCAGAGCTGCAGGGTATGGCACCCCCGCCCAGGAGCTGCCCAGTAGCCCGAGACACTGGGGAAAACTGATCTGAAATTGTGGAAAATGCTCCTCTGCTACTGACTTACCGAGAGGAGGAAAAAGTTTTTAGGTTGATTTTCTTTTGTTGCAACTGGAACGAAGCATGAGGGAAGGGGGGCAAAATACAGAGACCTGAACTAAGGGATGGCATGGGGTAGCAGGTTGAAGGGGTCTCGGGGAAAGTTCTACTAAAATGCCCGGAGTCGGCTCAGTTTTTCCCTGACTTCTATTTCCGCAGGATTTTACATAATTGGTTGACACTCAGCCTGACCTTGGAGGCACTGTTCTGTTGCCTGAACTGTAATTTACTTTCCCTGCCTTCTGTTGCCTGCTTCCATAGCTGCCACCCTTCCAACTCTGCATGGATTATAAGAAAAGGGTAAGGGTGAGGCCGGATGGGGGGCAAAGTAAAGTGGGAAAAACTGGAAGCTGTCCCTTCTATGGTCTTGATGAAAGTCTGTCCCTTGCCCAGATGTACCCATGTTTTCTAAGCATCAAATCAGAGCCTCTCAAAACTGCCTGACCTGCAAGCAAGCTATTTCCCACTATTAGTCTCCACTATATCCCATCTCAGTTCCAGACAATTATTGCTCTTTCTTCCTTCTTTGTCAAGTGAAATGTCTACCTCTCTGTAAAACAAAAGCCAAAGTCGAAGAGGGAGGGACAATTTGTGGGGAGAAAGAGGCCAACAGGAAAGGAGATAAAATTGAGTAAAGCACAGTGATTTACATGTATGTCATAATGGAACCCTAAATGTAACACATTGATACATTTTTAAGTAATAAGAATGAAATGTTCAACTATTTCCTCAGTCAAGTTATATTTTTGTCTTGTTTTTTTGTTTGTTTTTTCTCTCACAATCACCAAATTAGATTCATTACTTAGGAATTCACTACTTATGTTTGACAAAGGAGGACATTGAAGCCCAGAGGCAACCCTTGCCTGAAGTAATACCTAGTTGAACCCAGAATCCACTGGAAGTTACCCAACTTTAAATATAGCCTATTATTTCCTGAAGTCCACAGCTGCCCTGGAATTAAGGGATCAGAAAACTTGGGAGCTGTTTTCTGTGCAGCTGGTTATGAATTTGGAAATAGTGTTTTCCATCCTTTAAAAGGGGGGAAATGCAGAGCATAGATTTTGAGTTCTCTTGAAAGTGACTGTTTCATGCCTTTCCATTTGGAAGGAGTTGTGACAGTCTTCGGGGACTATGTATGGACGAGGGCTGTGTTCTATCAAGAGCTCACAGTGTGGGCTCAATAAAGATGCCTTCACTTGCCATTATCGGACATTAGTGAAGTCTAGCCAGCAGAAACAGGCAGATAGATGCACTTTTCCTCAGTAAACAGTCTACTTTTGTAAGGGCCAAGACGTGTTCCTAAATTGGACCCTTCCATCCCCAGTCACAATTTAGCTTTATCTTTAACTTTCTCTCCTCTGAAGCAATCAACCAAATTTACCCATGGGTGAAAAGAAGATGAAAGATAGACGCTGTACACATGTCTGTCGTTACTCTTCCATTTCTCCTCAGTCACTCTTGAGGTGATGTGACCTTAACATTTTTATGGCACTGTGTGCACACAACATGACAGAAGAGGGAACGCCCTCATGTTAAAGTCCTTTTCAGTTGCTACATAATTGTATAATTCGGATTACACTGTACTCCGGACTTTCATTGCTCAGTGACACCAACTCGGTGATCACCAACATAGGTAAATTTAGAAAATGTAGTCATTGGTTCACATAGCTCAGAGGCACCGAGATGGTAGCACTTTCCTGCTGCCTGACTGTTATCAGAGAAAACACAGTTCCCTGGCGCTAAGCATGCTTCCTGTGCTCCTGTTAATATTCCTTACATTATGGCCATACTGCATTTCCATTCGTGCACACGTGACAAAGTTGGAAATCTTAGTTTGTCAAAATAGATCAGACCTTTCACTTTCAAGTGAAGACCAGTCTTACACAAGAACACTGGGTGGCTGTCCATGCTCACACACATGGACAGCCACACAAATGGACAGCTCCCAGAGAGGACAGATTCTCAAAAGGAGAATTCCTAATAACTGAAGGGCTGGGTCATGCTTACAAGATAGCATCAATATGTGCTGCCTTCCTGATGAGTTTGCCTCCTGCAGTCACCATTGTCTGAGTTAGTCAATATGAGCAAAACCATAATAATAAGTCTTCTCTTTGCTGTCTTTTCATCTTTATTTCAGGGCCTGGGTTGCTTCCAAAGTGGAGTCACTCATTAAAGCCATCTAATGAGCCGTGTAGACAGCGGAGGCCCACAGTCCGTCATCTATAGGAACAGGGTCCTCTCCCTAATGTTAAAAGTTTTTCTTTCTTTTGTGGTTCAGTGTACTTGGTTACGTTTTAGACTATGTGGTAAGAAAAAAAAAAAAAAAGAACTTCCTCTTTGCTCTCCAACCAGATAGGGGGAGAATGCTCCTACAGCTGCTGTCCTGTTTCCTCTGCAAGCATTATTGGTTATCATTTATTATTAATATTTATGAGACAGTTTTATGTATTCTAGGCTGGCCTGGAACTCAACAGTGTAGCCTTGGATCACAGGCATATGCCACTGTGCCCAGCTCATTTGGCAGTGGAGATTGTAGGCTTCATACATGCTAAGCAAGATGTCTACAAACCAAACTATGTTCCCGTGACTACCTATATTTAAATAATTAGCTGTTTTTATTCTTTTCTTGAAGTTCTATAGAATTATACCCCTTAATCTTTTTTATGAATAAGTGAACAAGGCATGATGGCATACACCTTTAATCCCAGGGCTACCAAGGAAGAGGCTGGCAGATCTCTGTAAGTTTGAGGCCAGCCTTGTTTACAGAGTTCCAGGACAGCTGGGACAGAGGAAGAATTAGGGAGGAGATTCAACATGGAAGATGGAGAGAGCAGAATACCGAGCCCTCTCTCTGATAAGACCACATGGAAATACTTAGATTGATAGAAATGGGTTCATATTTAAGGCAGAGCTAGCTGATAAGAAACAAATAAAAGGCCAACAGCTTTATATCTAATACAATGTCTCTGTGTGTTATTTGGGGCTGGCGCGGCTGTGGGACCAGCAGGAAAACTGCTCATAACACGAGACTACACAGAGAAAACCTGTCTCAAAACAAACAAACAAAACAGTCATAAATTAATACGAAGCAAGAATTATTTCATTTAAATGGCATTTTTTAGTTATGCTAAAATCTTCCACTATACATGGTAATAATTACCTAGAACCCCTGCACAAAAGAAGCTGAGGCAGAAGGGTTAAGGGTTTGGCATCTGCCTGGGCTACATAATGAAATCCATTATTAAAAACAAAACCACTAAATCTAGAATATTTTCTTTTACTTTTGTGAACCCCTATCCAGGTTTCTGCTACACCGTATGTCCTCCGGCTCCCATAGGGTTGCTGCTGCCCAGTTCATTGCTTTTATCTCGTCTCTGCAGCCCTTTGCTCTTCCCTTACTCTAAGCTCTCTGTTCTTTCACTTAATCAATACACTTGCTTTTCTTTTCCTTTACCCTGCAAGGATCCACAGGATGACAAGTTTCTGGGTCTATTTTGATCTTCAGCACTCAATAGATGCTCACCAAGGCATTCATGGTACAGAGAGTGGAGGGAAGGTCTGGAGATGTGATGACATACTACACAGACCTTGCCTACTTCACTAGTTTGTCTAGGGATAGCCCGTGCCTCATTGTCGAATAGCTGTTGTGCCTGCAGATATAGGCAGAGCTTATTCTGCATCAGCTGCATACAGCCAGCCCATTTTAGACCTGGAGATAGACATTAGGTTTCTCTCTATTGCATGTCTTTCCCACTAAATTTGCCTTTAGAAAATCAGAACTAAGGGAGGGGGAGAGAAAGCGAAAATGTTCTTAAATTAGTTCTGTAAGAGGAAAGGAACTATCAGGACAGCTTCATTAAAGATCTATTAAAAGTTCATCTCCTTGATAGCTATTTCTCTATTGTGAAAGGATGAAATAGGAAGCATTAAATGAGAGTGATTCAGAGTCACTTTTGCCCCAGTTCTTCTGGCATTTATGACTATACACAAGTGTCATAACAGATCAATTCACGATATGCACTAAAGATATAAATGTTCGCCCCTCCCCATCCCCTGTGTGTCAAGGCTAAAACTGCTGTAGGTAAAAGTCATGGGACATTAAGAATGCTCGCAGTATGTGAATCAAAGATGCCTCTAGCCTGAAAGACTTGGCTCTGATGTTCCTTTCCTCGGGGAAGAAGATGTGCATAATTATGTACTTCAAATATCAGGCTGCTCTTTTTGTGTGTCTAAGTCTAACGCAAACATGACTTAGGTACTGAGCAAGCAGCGATGCCTTGATAGAGCTACAGCTCTTTTTTCCTCCCGCCACCCCCTATAGCATCCAGTGCCAGCGTGACAAATCTCAAATTATCAGGCATCATCAAGAGCTTCAACATGTAATATTTGTCCACAGTACTTTTGAATACTTGATGGAATATGTCAGTTTATTAATAAGAATGAAAAATGATGAGACCCAGGAATTCAACTTAGGCATTAATGGCTGTGTCATCTAGACTCCAAGGAAGGGAGTACATCCTGACTGTTGACCTTCCCAGAGCCCCTTCCATATTAGCTACAGCCATGATAACC